ACACAGAAGTTGGCCATAATCAAATTTTTGGTGCTAAAACCTTGATCATAGATAGTTGAATCCTGATAGAACAGACGCCTAGTTGAATCCTGATGGAGCAAACGCCTAAAGAACTACAAGCAGTGAGTAGAGGTGAAATTCTGTTTCAAGGACATTGCAAATCCGCAAGCCTCATTCAGCAAAATCCGTTAGTTCATTGCGTTCTGTAATTTTATTCTTTGTGATTATATACATATCTATTTTGTATGTATAACTACATGTATTAGAAATTATCCATTAATTTAACTGAAAATTTGATATTACCCCTTGAAACTATATTTTCCTCTACTAAAACCCATCTCCTTTTGTTTTCTTGAATAAAGCCCATTGACTAACCTCAATCAAACAAATTCTTTAATTAGTTTGACTTTTCAAATGTGTATTTTTGAATGCCTAAACTACCCCTATTAATACTTGGATGGGGTTTTTGGATCAGTTTACTTGTTATATCCATTTAATTAATTTTATATATTTTACAAAATAATTCATGCCATTCATTGTATATTCAATGTATTAACTTTCAAATGTTATAACGTGCTAATTGAAAATAATAATACTAATTTCATAATTTGGAATAGGTACATTAATTTCAATGTAGGCAAATTAGTATAATATTAATAAGTAGGTAAATTAGTTATAATATTAATAAGTAGGTAATTAATTTAATGTAGGTAAATTAGTATAATATTTTATAAGTAGGTAAATTAATTTAAATGTTGGTAAATTAGTATAATATTTATATGTAGGTAATTGCATGATTCAAAATGCAGGTTTATTAGTATAATATTTTATAAGTAGGTAAATTAATTTGTATGTAAGTATAATTACATAATTCAAAACAATATTATTTTTCCGTACAAGATTGTCTTTCTCTTTTAAATTTGGTAATTAATTTATATATGTTGCTAATATTTATGATACAAGAAAGGTAAAATATCCATATGGATTTAATTGCTCATCATAATTAGGATGAGTAATAACATTTATTGACCAAATTAGGATTCTATGGCATAAGTTGTAATTGTATTGTAATAGTTGGTCATATATTTGTCTACATGGTAGGCTATTTGAAATTTGGGTTTTATTTGAATGTTTAAATTTAGATGGGTTTTTATTTGGAAAATAGGAGTTTCAAGGGTCTATATCTAAAGAACCCTTAATTTAATTGATTCTAATTGTTGTTCCGCCAACAATATATTGTTGTAAAGAAAATTACACCAAACATACACATCTAATGATGATTATAGACGTGACTTGGCCACTTTATGCTTTCAAAATTATTCCCGTTATATAAGCTGCAAACCTCTACTTCGTCTGATTGTGATTTATACCTAAGCACCTCTACTTCGTTCGAATAGATTATGAGTTTTAATTCTCATAAATAGAACAGTTGGTAATGGGAAAAAAAAAAAAAATCATTTTTCCCAAAATTATAAATAAATATAAATACTAGCTATCAGAAGGAGTTGTCAACTTTACAAGGATTGCCTCTTTACTTTAGTATGGTCCTAATGCCTCCTTCCTTGCCGTCAACATACGCTACTAGGAGAGTAAGCAAGCTACCTTGCTTGCTTCGGCGCCCTTCCTGCCTGCTGAAATTGATGTGAATGACCGTGATAGCTCTTCGAATCCTATTCAGTCTAATTAGATATGTCACTGAAACAATCCGTTCTACATGGAAAGGGATCCTCTCTGGATCCCTTCCACTTAATCCACCCAATCCACAAATTCGGACCTTTGAAATTTGATTTAACGGCTAAAGTTATTATAACTTTTAAAGTGGGTCCCTGTTTGTAGCCGCTGGATCAAATTTCAAGGGTTCATATTTGTGGATTGAGTGGATTAGGTAGAAGGGATCCGGAGAGGATCCCTTCCCTTTCTACATTTGGAAAAATAAGTTATGAATTTGATAGAATCTTCTATTCTATTAAGAGAACCCTCCTTGTCAACTTTTGGTCCCCTTTTTTCCTATTTTGCCCTCATTTTTTATACATACTATTGAAATGGTGAGGGCAAAACAGTAATTTTGTCTCTTTTGAGAAAATGACAATCATATCCCTCTTTTTCCTATTTTATCTTTTTTTTTTAAATGAAAATCATATCCATATTTTTTCTATTTTACCCTTACTTTTGATTCACAATATTTACATAAGGAAGACAAAACATTAATTATGTACCTTTTGAGAAAATAACAATCATATCCTTATTTTATCCTATATTAAGAAAAAATATGCTCTTATTAAGAGAAATTGTCTCATCATTATTGTCTCATACTCTTTTTAAAAATTTTAAAAACTAATCACACTCCTTAATCAAAAACAAAAAATAAAATGAAATTGTTTACACACACAAAGTGTGTTATCATCTTTAGTATAAACTAAGAAAAGAGGTGGGTGTCTTCAATATTTACCAAAGATGTTGGTCCATCATAGCATAGGCATGTGAGTACGCGGCTCTATTAATTATGTCTGCAATATAAGCTGCTGAATGACACGTGGATAGTCAAGGATCTGTTACGAGACATGAACTTGTATAAAACGGGTCTGTCGGCACGTAACGTCTCAATTTAATCAAACAATCTCATGTCATGCGGTAAAAACTTACAGATAACATTATTTTATTAAAATAAGATGTTGTGACAGCAGTGAATCTGTTCTATTTAAATCAATCTCCGAAGCTAACCGTGGAGAAACAAACAAACAAACAAGAGTCCAATTCCAAACTGTGCATGACAGATGATGAGAACAAAATCATGAGCAAGATGGACGAGGAGGAGCAAGACAATTCAGTGAGATGAGTACACGTGACAGTAACAGCCAGATTTCTGCATGAAAAAACTAAAATCGATGATAGCGATGCATTTCAAATTTCACTGCCTATATTCATGTTTCTGTAATATTGGTGGAACTACATGGGTCTAATTCCTCACATATCCGATACTTTAAATGGTCTTAAATTCTCTGCATTAGAGAACTAAAACCATTTTTTTTATATAAAGAAAATTCTAACAAGCCTTGGTTATGATTTAACATGCATAAACAAGGTCTTTCAAATCAAACCATCCCTAAACACTTATATGGAATTTCTTGTTTCTTAGGAGAAATTTTTTAGTGTGCTGGAAATATGACCGGATACATTAAGTGTAATAATACAATTAGTTGGAAACCAAAAAAAAATTATAACCAATTGTATTATGATATTTGGTGTACAAAACTATGCTCGCAGCACACTAAAAAATTCTTGTTGCCTAGAGCAAGAATCAAAATTATTTTGGTTTCTAACTTTTCTTCTGTTTACTGACACAAGGATATTAAAATTAGAGAAAATTGGAGCATTGGTCTGTCAATTGGAGCTATTGTCCTTGAACTAAAAGCCAATGAGTATTTATTCTTGAAATTGTCACAGTGTGGAAGATTGGTCATTTTGAATAACACCGAGAGAAATTCTGTTCAAAACAAAGGTTTAAAGGGGTTAAAAAAATGGGGCTTTTCGATCTAGGTCCAAAAACAAAGGTAATTTTTTAACTAAGTCCAGTTATCCAATTACATATTTTTATACCAATTTTGCCATTTTAGATAAAAATATTTAAATTCTTTAATTTTTGTATCATTTATTCAGTTTTTTAATTTTGAATATTTAAATACTAACTAAAATATTATCTAGTAACCACCTAATGATGTTTACCTACAAAACCGATATAATTTAGTAACTACCTATTGTATAGGAAGAAAAATACTTTATACCAACAAAACAGATGTAATCTACCTACAAAACAAAATAAACTACCTATTGTATAGGAAGAAAAATGCTTTATACCTACAAACAGATATAATCTACCAACAAAATAAAATAAACTACCTATTGTATAGGAAGAAAATGTTGAACCTCCATGGCAGAACATTAGAATAGAACTATGATATAATAACCTCTATTAAGGAACAACTACTAACAAAAAAAAAGGAACAAATACGAAGTTTTAGTTTACCTTTATGATACGCACAAAATATAATAGAGCAAATATAAAAGCATGATACTGTATTATTGCTTGCAATTGATACTGTATTGCCGAACGAATATGTAAAAAAATTGTGAAAGCTATGTAAAAACTGAAATTGTCCTGAAGAATTTGGAGGGGGAACACAAAATAATCACCCATGAAATATGAGAGAAGAAAGAGGATGATTGATTCCATGATCTAACAAGGAAATTGTTTAGAAGAAGAAAAAAAAGGAGGGATGAAACGGACTTGGGGTTGAGATTTTATTGCTATAACTAATCCTACAATTAAGGGATTAGTTAAATCACAAATAATGATATAATTAAGAAATTTTGAATATTTACTACAATTTATAAGTTTAAGGGATAAATATGGTACAAATTATAAATATGCTTACGTGGAATATCAATTATTGGACCTATTTCAATGCAATGGACTAATTATAGTAATGACTCACAAAATTGGATCTATATCAAATTATCCCTAAAAAAAAAGGCAACAATTGTACTGGAGTTACCTAAAGGACCATTGTTATAGGAACATTGTGATAAGTTTAGGAACAAATAATCACGATATTTAGTTGAGAGGTCAGTGCTCCAATTAGATTCAAGCTCAAGGACCATTGCTCCAATCCAGTTTTAAACTTATTTCGAGTTTTGATTTCTTTTGCTATTTTCTAACACATACGGGATAAAAAGCATGTGAGTATCATAATACTTCAGGAAATCCAATCCAATACCTGAACAACCAGCGATTAAAGGGATCTCATGAAGAATTCTTCTCGAGTTCTCTCGTTATAGTTAAGTAAAAATATCATTATTGTACCAGTTTTTTGTGTTTAGAAGTATATAGGGAAAATGACATTTTATTAGCGAAGGAGCCTCTAGGCAAAAAGGGAAAACATGGCCTACTAAAATGTATGGAGTGAGGACCAAGACAACAAAATAATGAAACTGAAGAGGTAACACCACAAAATAAAACATTGGGTGAGGGGGATAAATAACAGATGTCGCACTTTGGGCAGATGATCACGGTTACCAACCTGCGTACAAGAGCCATTGTCACTCCTTTAAATATATGTCGCCCACCTGGTCCAAAGCTCTCAGTCCTTGGTTTTCTAGACACTGACAATCAAGCAGCTGTGTTCTTGCTCAAGTCTATATTCTCCACCTAAAAATAATAATGACAGCAACTACTGGCATGGAAGATGGAAAATGCAGGTGGGTTTCTCTCTCTCTCTCTCTCTCTCTCCTCTCCTCTCTCTCATCAAAATTGACAATGCGGGATATGGGTTTTGTATCAGTGACAAGATGGAAGAAGATGGTAGTTTGAGGACTTTGGAGTGCCTCAGAGGGAGACTGCTGGCGGAGAGGCAAGCTTCAAGGGTTGCAAAAGAGGATGCAGAACTCATTGGCAAGAAGGTAAATGTATTCAAATTTCGATTACGGATTAGTAAACATCGGATCCATAATTGTTATTCTTTTCAATTACACTAATTGGTAAGTTAAAACTTTAGTGTAAATATGTTAGGAACGCAAAAGAGCTAACCAGTTATATATTCACATATCTGTATGTTGTCATTCACATTGTAATGTTTCAAATGTTAACAGTTAGTAGAACTACAGAAGCAGCTCAAAGAAGAGATCAAACTAAAGGAAAAGGCGGAAAAGAAGCTCAAATATTTGAAGAAAAAGCTTGAATCTTTGAATAATTCCTCCAAAAATAGTGAAAAATCTTGTACACAATCCACTACTACTTCATCAGGATCCAATCATCCAGAAACCCATGAAGCCAAATCCAAAGTTGCAGAGTCAGAAATCCCAGAAGAATCAAGACAAAATGCAGCAGACTCCATCACATCTGAGCAAAGCCATGAAAGCACTTTCACTGATGAAAACACTTCTTCTCAAAGCACTTCTGGTTCCAGTTCTAGTTCCAGCGTAGAATGTTCTTCTTCCCCAAAAGGGTTCTGCCACAACCCAAGTCATAAATCTGAAGATCCAAAGATCGAAGATGGTAATAGGTATGCAAGTCCAGTTAACCTGACCAGTTCTATCAGGTTTAGTGTCCGTACTTAGGGTAGCGATTTTGACACTCAGCTTTTAACCATTTGCACTGTAAACTGAATATTAATAATCTTTCTGCGCTCAGAAGTGCATGCAGATAAAAGAAGAGTGTTAAAATCACTAGCGTTTAGAAATAATCTTTGACATTCCATTTTGGGATTTTCTTATTAAGCTAATTAGAACAAAATTTGCAAATTTTTTTCAGTTGTTCAACCTTAAACAGAGATTGAGAATGGTGACTTGGGGTTATTATGTTGATACACACTTGCATTAGTACCTGTGACTATGCCTGCCACTTGTCACACCAGCACTGAATTGAAGCCAGTTGCTGAAAATCTTATGATGCCACAAGGAATACCAGAGAAAATCTTCAAAGATCAATGGAGAAGAGGCATATGATTTGATTTGGTCCGTTTGATCACCAATCTCAAACATGCAAATAGTGATCATTAATGCTCATGTGACATCCTATGGAGATGAAATGATTAGTGCTAGTTATACTTACTGTTTGAATTGCATGGCTCTAAATATCGGAGTATGAAGTATGTAAGCGTGCTAAAGAAAAAGTTGATAAATTTCTAGTCACGTGTATTTTTGGATGGATTAATATTTGTGGATGTGGGTAATAAAGTTGTTACATCTGGTACATTCACTCATAGAGGGCATGTGAATTGTGGGGTTTGTTGCAACATTGATGCTCTGATTTGGACCCCGACTTCTTGGCCACTTTCTTCTTTTGGTTTTCTCTACTTTATATTGTAGCAATCTCTTGAGTGGAATTGAATTTTAGCAGGTGGTTGGCTATGGCAGCTTGATTCTTGTGACCTGTATATTAAAGACTTTCTTGTTGGGACTTGGCCAAAATCTCTCGACACCTGTAGCTGTGATATTTGCACTCAAAACTTCTTATCATTGGTCTTAAACTTTCACTTTTCGAAGCCACTCAACAAAACTAATTGATTATAGAAAATGATTTTCGCATTCCTGTTCTCTCCTTTTACACTTCTTTCTTCGCGTGTGTTCTCTAATTTTTCTTTAATTTATTCATTTCAATAGCTATGGAAAAGAAGAGTACAATTAAAAGAAAAAAGAGTGTGGAAATCATTTTCTATCAACGCATGATTCTTTCTCTGCATGTTAGTTTTCAAGAACGAATTAAATCTCAACCGTTGTTTATGGTCTTAATAGTTAAGAGAACAAAGCTCCTCTATTGACAATTAAGCTTGGGCCCTGTGCCAAGATCTGTGCATGGAGTGAAAAATGGCCATAAAAGAACAAAGGGATTGGTAAACCCCAGACATGGATCCCCTCCTCTTCAGTGTTGCTTGCAGTCGAGTCAGTGCTTTGGTTTGACATGCAGCCCATCACATGATCAAGAATGCACACATGCAATGCAATACAATGGAATTTTAAATTTTAGATGTACAAGTTATTCTTTTTTCGAAAAATAATATATTGAATCCAACAATTGGGACTCTTGCACAATTAAAAAAAAAAAAAAAACTAATGAAAAATTTAAAAAACTTTTGTTTTAATGAAGGGAAGTATTATTGGCACTTCAAAAATCTTATTCTACACTCCTTATAAGTGTATTTTTCTTTCCAAATATAGAAAGTTTGGAGTGTAGAATGAGATTTTTGGAGTGCCAATAACAATTCTCTTAATGAAAATGATAAAATAAAGGTGTAAATGAACAGTACTGACACACCCCATCCAAAAATTGGGGCGTGCTGGCCGTCACGTGAGGGTAATGTAGCCAAGTGCGCAATGCGGAAGTAAAAGAGTGAAAATACGAGGAAATAAAGTCGACGAGATAATCTACAATAAAAAGATCAATGAGTGCTAGTGACAAACACGGAAGGAAAAACGCAAAGCAGGAGTTCAAGTATCCTAGGTGCAGTCCAGAATAAACAAACATAACACGAGTGATCACTAGAAATCCTACATGGAGGGTGCTCTGTCAGAACTGCCTCGATGCCACGTTCGTCACCCACGTCCTCGCTACCTAAAACCTATAGGGGTGCAAAACAGAAAACGTGAGTGGGCAAAAAAGGCCATAAAAGAACAAAGAGATTGGTAAACCCCAGTGTTGCTTGCAGTCAAGTCGGTGCTTTGGTTTGACATGCAGCCCATCACATGATCAAGAATGCACACATGCAATGCAATACAATGGAATTCTAAATTTTATATGTAAAAGTTATTCTTTTTTCGAAAAATAATATATTGAATCCAACAATTGGGACTCTTGCACAATTAAAAAAAAAAAAAAAAACTAACGAAAAGTTTTAAAAAACTTTTGTTTTAATGAAGGGAAATATTATTGGCACTTCAAAACTTTCATTCTACACTCCTCATAAGTGTATTTTTCTTTCCAAATATAGAAAGTTTGGGATGTAGAATGAGATTTTTGGAGTGCCAATAACAATTTTCTTAATGAAAAGGATAAAATAAATGTGTAAATGAATACTACTGACACACCCCGATCCAAAAATTGGGGTGTGTTGGCTGTCACGTGAAGGTGACGTAGCCAAGTGCGCAATGCGGAAGTAAAAGAGTGAAAATACAAGGAAATAAAGTCGACGAGATAATTTACAATAAAAAGATCAATGAGTGCTAGTGACAAACACGGAAGGAAAAACGCAAAGTAGGAGTTCAAGTATCTTAGGTGTAGTCCAAAATAAACAAACACTACACAAGTGATCACTAGAAAATCCTACATGGAAGGTGCTCTGTTAGAACTGTCTTGATGCCATGTTCGTCACCCACATCCTCACTACCTAACCTGGAGGGGCGCAAAACAGAAAACGTGAGTGGGCAAAAACAAAGTTTGTTTTTCAAACCATTTCAATATCAAGTAAATATTATACGCACTCGTATATCAAATCATGCTAAAAACGATAAAGCTCAAATATGTCATGCCAAAAATATGCCGTGTCAGAATATCCAATCAAACGGTATAAGCATCAAGCAGGTGAGATAAAACAAATCATAATATGCCGATAATATCAGTGCGTCAGCCGGAGTCACCTAACGTGACCTATACGGCTAAATCTATAGCCCTCAACTACTATCCTGCACACGAGTCGGAATCACCTATAGTGATCTATACGACAGGCTGGTGTATCTAATTACGCTCAGTGCTACAATCACGTGAAGGCTGTGCGATGTATCGCAAGTCACCTACGAGTCGAAACCACCTATAGTGGTCTGTACGACAGACTCGCACTGCCTTGGATCCAAGGTGAGCGTACGATGTGGGAGGTGAACGATCACGTGAAGGCTAGGCCCTACTCCGGCGGAGCACAATCACCGAGGTGCAGGAATATAAGCTATAACTCAATCTCATCAACACCACATCTATCACTAACAATATACTCACCTGACTTACCTGAGCGTCCCTATCACCAAAGCATAACCAACACAATCACAATAATAATATCGACGATATTCGACATGGCATTTCAATTATAAAACCATTTAAATGTAATTTCTGGAAAGATACCAATCATAATATATATATATATACACACACTAAAACAAAAGCCCACTCACTGATACGTAGAAGGGTCGTAAGCCCCGAGCCTCGCGTGGCTGTGCTCGTCCTTCGGATAGTCCTCACCTATATGTGAAACAACTATAAAACCGTCAATTTAACGCACATAACCAACCTTAGGTAATAACTTCTCATGCATTGCTCAAATGGGGTGTTTGAATACACCAACATGCTCTACTCAATCCCACGAACACCCCCATATTTTTAAAATAATTTTCCGACCTCCCACGCGCCGGTCATGCGCGGGCACGTGCCAGGCACACTGACGGAGACCTTAACGGCGTTAGGGAATATTCCGTCCAAGAATGAAATATACCGTTAAATGCCGTTAGGAATATTCCGTCAGAGTTGACGGAATATTCTTTGTCTTCTCCGGTGATCATTGCCGGAGCCGCCGCTGATTGCCGTCTGCGTCACCAGAAACTGGAAAAATTTTCAAAACTTCATATCTTCTTCATTTCTCAACCAAATTCCATGAAATTTATGTCAAAATGAAGCTTAAGACAAGGAGAAGAAGTTTATACCACTTTGAAGCACCAAAAACGCTGGAATCTCGTCGAAGAAAGTCCACAAAATCTGGCCAACCTTAGAACTCGCTATCCCAACGTCCAAAAGCCTTCAAACTTGTTCCCCGAGCTTCGTGAGAAGGTTCTAAAACTCCCTATAACCTCAAAACTCGATGAAACCTTTGCAATCACGAGTGCATGAACAGTGCACGAAAACTGGGTTCTAGGGTTTTCGAGGGTTTCAAGTTCTAAAAATGGTATGGATGAGTTCTTGGGCTTGCTAGGAGTCCAAAACCAACCTTCAAACCTTCGATCTGTGCGTGGAAAGTTGGCTTTGAAGTTTGTCCGTACACTTGCAAAGGAATGGAAGAAATCCGAGAAAGAGAGTCATAGGAAAAAAAAAGATGGGTGTGTGTGAGTGTGTGGTCCAGATGGTAGCCCACCAACCAAAAACAAAACAAACACCCTACAACGCTAATTAACGTACAGGGGTAAAATCGTCTTTTCACACTAACGTTACAAATAATTCGGGGCAGGCTATCACAATACCATGAGTGACTTTTCAAGGTAAAAATATCCTTAACGTTAAAAGTGAATAGTACCATGAGTGTTTTGTTAAGATTCCCTTAAAAAAAAGGAAAACTAATGAAAATGGCTTGAAAACTTTGAGTTTTAACGATAATGACAAAATAAAGGGTAAAGTGAATAGTACCAGGTTTGACTTTTTAGCGTAAAAATGTGGTTTTTCGTTAAAGTGAACAGTATCGCGGGTTTTTCGTTAAAACTCCCTAAAAATAAAAAGGCACAAACTTGCACAAAGCTAGTAATAATATAAAGTGTAAACTTCTGATTTTCTATAAACAAGAATATAAGAGCCCGTTTAATAAATATTTCATGTTTAATCTTTTATTATAAACGATATTATTACTTTAAGCTAGAATACTAGAAAGAGAAAATATTTGTATACAAAATACAACGAATTGAAGAGTAACACCCTATATGCTAAAACAATTCGCCACTTAATTTTCGTGTTTGGTTTTTTTTTTCTTTTCTTTTGTTGAGAAAAAAGGGGAATACAAAGGATAAAAGAGGGACGGCCAAAGATAGAAAGAGTGGTGGAAACTGGACCAATGTACACGGAAGAGTTACAAAGTGACAAATTTAAAAATGAAAATAAATTGTAGCAAGTTTTCTATTTAGTTTTTGTTTTATATTTCCACCTTCAGGTCTCGTTCTCTCATTTTTGTGCGGGGCTCAATGTGTCACTGGGCTAATGACAATACAATTCAATCAAAATATGACATGTAGTAAGATTTATTATGATTTCTTAGTTATAATTTACCTTTTAATGCTTTCATAATTACATAAAAATTGAAAATCTATTATAAAGATAAATAAAAGTAAAAAGAGACTCCAATCACCCAACTGAGTCCTCCTCCACTTGAGAATTCACCCCTCCCTCGTCAGAGCCGATGTCAGTATCATTTGACTAAGCTTTGAGGGATAATGCTATAGCAATATATTCTCCATTCTCATGGATTTTCCTATCCTAGTTAGCACAATTCTTTGAAAAATAAAGGAGAAGTTTTTTGTGTTTGCAGAAAAATGGATCATCAGCGGAAAAGAAAAAAAAAAAAAAAAACAAGAGAAAACGAACCTGGGTTCAATCATATGTAGTCGTTTTCAAACCCAAAGTCTATACAATTCCCCTTAATCTATTGAGAGAAAATATTGAGTGATGAGATTTCAA